ACACATACATACACATATATTTTTTCCTCACTCTCATTTCGATAAAATTAAGTCCCATAGTACCCACAGCATCTGTCTCCAGACTTGGGCTCTGTATGTTTAGAGTCTGTGTTTCTTTTAGTCCTAGAGAACTTTCTGTTTCCACACATCTCTGACCTAGTCAGGTTTTCAATCTTGCTTCATTGTATATCTGAGGAAAAATAAACGTTACCTCACCTCTGACCTTCTCCAGGAAGCACCTTTGTTATGGTGGAAGGAGAGAAGGCCAGTGGTTGTGTGAGAGAAAAAGAGTATGCCTCTCCTCTCCTCTGTTCACTGGTAAGTTTTTTATTTTTTCCTTCTGGGAAGTATGGGAATCTATTTTCTTAGGGATGTGGCTCAGATATTTTTACTTCATGGAACCCAACCCCTCAGATCTCCAGATTTATTTTCAGACTGGAATCTCTCCAGTGCAATGTGACAGCCTGGGCAGAGTTAATCAGCCCCCCCTCTAACCCCCATCAGGCTTATGCAATTAGAAATCCAAATGGAGACAGTCAGGCAGTTAGACCCACCCAGGCCACATCCTCTGTAGCCTTCTGTCTCACTATACAGACTTGTGGAACAGCAGGAGACTTTGTCCCCAGTGAACCCACTGAATCCATCTTATTGCGAGTGGATATTAGTCCTGTGGACCCATACGCATACCTCCTGGCCTAGATGTCTAAGCCAGAACCTCAACCTTCATCCAGCTGACAGACGGCTACACACCGCTTCTGTCCACCTCCTGTAGCAAGAAGAACCCAACTATATCCCCCATTCTGACAGAAGGAAGAGGGAAGTGGAACAAGAGGGTCAGGAGTCTCTCGAGCACTGACAATCAGAGATTCAGCCTTGACATGGGTTGTTAAGAGATTCTTGGCCTCCCTTCTCCAGCTAGTAGGGGTCAGTGACCTGGGAGCATAGCCACGACTCGGGGAGGAGGAGCCAGCTAGGGAGGATAAAGTAGAGATGGGAGGAGTCTGGGTGGCTCCCTCCTCCTGGAGGTCCAGCCAAGTGGCTGAGCTGGAGAAGCAAAGCCGGTAACAGATAAGGGACTGGTTTTCCTGTGGCCTTGTTTATTCAAGCTTAGGTTCTTGTTGGCTGGTTCCTGAGGGGTGGGGGTAGGGCAGAAGGCAGTGTGGGGTTCCTGGATGAGGTCTGCGTTCAGCTAGCCAAGGCCTTGAGGACTTATAGAGCCCACCTCTCTTTGACCCTCAGACTTTTATCCAGAAGCTGGCTAGTCAGAGGCTTGAACTCTTGGTGTGGTGCATGGGGGATCTGAAACCAAGGAAATGGCTGGTGTAGTAACAGCATTTTTCCTGGTCTGTGGATCTGTGGGTCTCAGGGCAATTGAGAAAGGATCTTCAGCCACACAAAGCTAGTGATAACATGTTTACACTAATTCAAGAATTCCTCACACTGTGTTCCTTCACCTCTCTGAAACAAGCTGTGTACTAAGTCTGTGGGCCTGAAAGTTTGTGAAAAGCAAGTAGCATGGGCTCAGCATGGAGTCAGGGCAGAACAGATCCAGTCTGTCCCTTGTGGAGATGAAAGGCAGTGAAATTATTATATGACTCATGGCCCAGTCAGGGTATGACATGAAAGCCTTGTTAGGGTCCTAACCTTGGGAAAGATTATTTAGCAGTGCGCCGATATGGAAGTGGATTTGAAAGCTGGGCAGAACTACCACACGGTCATCTGGGGTCCAGTGAACGAGCCTCCCAAGCAGAGGAAAGAGAGACCTGTGAGGAAGTGTGGGATGCTGAGGAAGAAGCAGAGGGGAGATCACAGGTTGGGAGGAAGGGAGGCAGAAAGGGGACCTGGAGGAAGAGAGAGGCAGGAGTAACAGACTTCTTGGAACAAGATGAGGGACCTCAGGAGACTGACTGTTCTTTGAACACAAGTGGGGAGCTCTTATCTGGGGACTCTTAGAGCAGGGACTTGTCTTCTTCACCTGATGGTCCTTCCTTCCCAAAGCTTAGCAAATGGTATGTTCTGTGGCTGGGGCTTGGGCGGGTCTGTGATGGCAATGGCTTGGAGATGACGTCCTGGGAGATCTACATCTCAAGAGCAGGATGAGTGGGAGGCAAGCTGAGCACTGAGAGGCCGTCCTTTAGGCAGGGTGCTTTCCAGACACTCTCTGCATCTGCCCACTATCCCTGTCACACCCTCTAGGGTGCAGTAGGGAAGGTACTAGAACTTCACAGACAACCGACTCAAGTCTTCTGTGTTTGTAAGATCATCCTCAGGACTGACCAGCTTCCTTCCCTCTGTCTTTCCTCCTCCTCCTCCTTCTTCCCACTGAATTCAACAGCTTTGATCTTCATTCTTTATTGACTCTCTGACACCCGTACACAGTAGGTCCCTTTATTGGGTTAGACATGGAGAATAATGTGCCAAGGTATAATATCGGACTGTTGGGGTTAAACCCCCTTGCTTAGTGACCTGAGCCAAATGTCTTCATCTCTGTCTTTGCACCCTTGAAACAGGTTAACAGTGACAACTATTCAATCTGTTGGTGGATTCCATGAGAACACTCTTAGAAAGGGCCTTGGTGCATCGTAAGTGGTCCATGGATATTAGCTGCTGCTGTTTATATGCATTGGCTGTCCACTCTGGGAAAAGAGATTGCTGGAGAACTTTTATTTATTTATCTTTTTGAGAAAATAATGCAACGATAATGCCACCTAATAGCACGTCTTTATTTTTCATCTCCATTTCCAGTACTTATTTATGGAGGTCCTAATCTCAGAATCCAAAGTCTAGAGAACTTTGCTGTCTTTGATCTACTCCACTAATCTGCTGTGTAGAGACTCAGCAGATGACTGTGAATGTGGGATCCACCCTCGCACCCAAGCTGAGGGTAAGAGCCCTGGATTTATATTTCTCCTCATTCGTCTATTCCTTGCCTGCTTGTAGATCTGGGAACCTGTTTCTCCTCATCTGTTAAATGGGAGTAGTAGTGTGAATATGGGCAAAGAGCCCAGCACATAATACAGGATTAGGAAATGCTAGTTCCCAGCCCCTCCCTTGGAGTTAGTATGGAGTGGAGAGAATGGGAGGAACCCAGGAATGGGGGACATCAAGCTGGCTCAAAGCCACCTATCTCCCACTTCCACACAGTGATGGCCCCCCCAGGACACCTGAGTGAACTGGAGACCCCATCTGCTCTAGAGACAGGGACCAGCCAGCCTGTGGTTTATTTTTCTGATACTTCAGTGAGAAAGGAGGGGGTGTGGGAACCCCCATAGTTTCATGAAGGATGGGAATAGAGGAAAGCCTAACCTGGAAGCTGTTGTGGGGCTCTGTTGTTGGGATGGGCTGACATCTTGTTGGGGAAAGGGACCATGGGCTTTTGTGGGTAGGGTGAGCCAGGGACTGCAGGGTTCATAAAGAGTTCAGAAAGAGCACTGGGAGAGAGGCCACTATGATTAAGGGGAACTCATTAAAGCAGGCTGGTGGGAGCTTCCTGGCTAACCTGACTGAGTTACCTAAGTAACTTCCCTCTACTCCCTGCCCCCTACAGATCGCTTCTATCAAATGCCAGGGGAACATTATGTTAATAACAAATAATTGCCTAGGCTTGAAGAACATTTGAGAAACCACAGCACTTTAAAATAGTATTTTAATTTTATGTGGTATGAGTGTTTGCCTGAACACATATCCGTGTACCACATGCATGCAGTGTCAGTGGAAGCCAGAAGTGGGTATCGGAGCCCCTGGAACTGGATTTATAGACAGTTGTAAACCTCTGTGTGGGTGCAGGGAATTTTATAAACCCTGTCTTCTGGAAGAGCAGCCAGCGCTTTAAACAGCTAAGCTATCTCTCTAACCCTAGTCAGGGCATTTTAAAATATTCGTTGTCTACTTCTAATTTCACAAGGAGGCAGCATAAGGGAGGTAACAGTGCTGTTTCACAGGTAACAAGACTGAGACTTGACAGGCTGAGGAGTGGCAGGTGTCGTTTCTGCTGTCAAAGAGCCTACAGCTGATGGGTGAGTGGGAATCCCAGGATTCTCTCCATTATTATTGCTATCATAATTTTATTTTATATATTTATATGTTATTTATATTTATTTGATTTCATTTATTATAATTATTGCTGCTATTATTTTTATGAGTCATAGCTGCCCTTGATTTCTCTATGCAAACTGGAGCTGACCTTGAACTTGTGACCATCTTTCGTCCACTTCTTGGATGCCGGGACTGTTTGTGTTATGTGTCACTTCCCTTGTTTGTTTGTTTATTTATTTATTTATTTATTTATTTATAGTCAGACTCTTACTCTGTAGCCTAGGCTAGCCTAGAATCTATCATGTAGCTCAGTCTAGCCTTGAATTTGTTTCAATCATCCTGCCTTAGACCCCCATACTAGGATTATAGGTCCTGGCCACCATGTCTGGCTTCCATTACACTTTTTAAAAATAGAAGTACTCTTTGGTTTTATACCTTTGTAGATCCATTGCTTTTGCTTTTTCAGTCTTGGGATATGACTTTCCATGTGACAGGGCACCCCTGGGTGCTAGCACCCCTCAGAGGAAGAACAGAGATGCAAACAGAGCCTGGATGGAGGGCACAGGACAGTGCCGTAGGAGTTACAGTTGCCTGTTAATGAGTGACTAAGAGAGCCTTATGAGATCACACTGTCTGGGCATCATCTGTCACTGACAGGACTGGGGCCTCTCAGTCCTGGAGTCTGTATCTAAGAGATCACGCTAGTGAACCGTGAGTGTGGCCTTGGGAAGACAGCCCTTCCACCCTGGTGCCTTGGTTGGCTCATTCAGAAATGGATGACGTCAATTTTTCCACCCTCCCCCAACCTGACATTCCAATCACCTTTGTTGACTTTTTGTGTACAGGTTGATGGAGCAAACATTTCCTAAATTCCTGGAAACCTGTCCAGCTCTGCCAGTACCAAATAGTGGCCCTGAATCTACCTGTGAGTTGTCGGGTCACCGGCTAATCCTCTGTTACATGTATTGAGTTGCTCTTCAGGGACCCTTCAGCTCATTCTCTGAAAAGTGAGGCCTGGGGCTCATCTGGGCAGGGCTGAGTGAAGAGACAATGAGTAGGCTGCAGTTATAGAGGCCAACAGAGGGAAAGGGTCTGGAGAAACCCTGGAGGGTAGGGTAGGTACTAGGTTGGTGAGGAGAGTGTCAAGGCACCAGGTTAGTCTGTCAGGCTTTCTTTCTGGCCTATCTTAGAAAAGGTTCCCAGGATTCTAGGGCCAGCCTCTGAGGAGACTGGAGTCAGCTACTCCTCTTGGCCTTGCAGGCTTGTGGGTTGTTTGGTCTGCTGAGGTAGTGGAGTCCCGGCTGTGGAGGCCAATAGCCAACAAAACCTGTCCTAGGTCAACCTGAGATCTTCCTAGGTCACAGTATCTTTGCTATCTGATGTTTATATCCCACCGTGGAAGAAACACGTGTTTAGAGTGGTTTTCTGTGCTATAAGGTAGCAAAGAGGGAGGGGACACAACAGGTATGGCATAGTGGCCAAAGTATTTTCTCTGTGGTCCATGTGATCTTCCCATTGGGCCACTGTCTTTACTGACTGAGCGTGGGCCATTGCCTTTCTTTAAACAGATATAGAAACTTAACTCCAACCCAGTTGCTTCAGGAGACCCTTGGACTAATTCTTCCTTCCATGGTCCAGGGTGAGGAGGAGTGGAGGACACTTCTCCTGGCAGATAACTGGGTCTGTTTCAGTTCTTTTGTTCAGTGTTGGTGACTCCATTTCCTCCTGTGACTCAGGGTCTCTGGCTTGAAAAGAAGGGTCTCTCTTCTCCTTGAGCTTGTGAGGCTGTTGCTGGGATACATGAGATCATGTCTGTCACAGCACTGTACAAAAGAGGCCCCAGGAATATGCCAACTTCTTTAGTTGGTTGTGGATATTTAAGGTCTAAGGATATTGCTCATGAGTGTCCTGGCCACTATGCCTACCCTAGATGGGACATGGTTAGGCCAGAACCGACTAATCAGAAGGACAAGTGAACTTCCTTTTAATTTAAATCTTAACAGTAGTACATGTTCAGAAACTCAGGGTTGCCAGTCTCTAAGATGTGGTTCACATCTCTTATCCAGTTACTAGGATGTTAGTGAGAACATTGGTTTCTGACCATTGAGTTTTCTTGGGAAATGTCATTAGATCTGTATAGGCCACACTTACAGAAAAATGTGCCTGTGCAGCCATTCGCTCTCTGACCTCCTCCACAAGTTTAGTGCCCTTTGAGGTAGAGGGGTCACTGGTGGGGAAGCTTAAGAAAGGAGCTTCCTACAGCTGGAGGCCAAAGCCTTAACCATAGAGTCTAATGGCCATATAGCTGTGTGACCCAAGACAGACATAACAGGACCCTGTCTCAGTTTCCCTCTTTATAATACCCATGCCACAGTAATCATGCCTTCTTCATGTCATCACTGCGAGAACCAAACATGATCAAGACTGTTCAATGGCCTGAGGGGGAACGTTCAGTAACTGAGCAAATGCAGGAAGATGGGACATGAGAGTAGGCCAAGATGACAGGAGCATGGCATGAACTTTTCTCAACACAGCTCTGGGTGAAGGTCCCCTCAAGCATGGACTCAACCACGTGGCTGATGACATCAGGCCAGGATGTTTGGCCCAGGCAGCAGCATTCTTTGCATTTTGAGAATAGACGTTTCTGATTTAGAATAAATTCCCAGAGGAATAAGCCTTCCTTCCCCTAGAGCCTACAAACTATTCAACTGTGGATGCCCAGGGCCCAGAGGCCTTAGAGACGGGTGTGAGGAGTAAGGCTTGCTTCTGTGGCCAGTACCCAGTGCTAAACTTGAGGCTTCTAATCTCCTGGAAGCTATGAGGTACACAGTCCAGAGCACATTTTTTTTTTTCTGGACAGGATTTCTGGTTGTCCTGTGTAGGAGGAGCTAAGGTGGGAGGAGTTAGCAGAGGAAGAGGAAGGGGAGGAGTAAGGAAGAGAAGAGAAAAAAGGAAGAGGAGGAGCTAGAGAGGGCAGAAATGTAGGAGGATGGAGAACCACACAGGTATGGAGAGCACTTGTGGGGAACAACTTATAATTAGGTTAGCTAATTGGGATACAACTCTCTTTGTATGGGCATCTTGTTATTAATCATTATCAAACATATAAAGCCTTTGATTAATCTATAAGAATTAGAGTCTCATTCTCTTACTGGGCCCGCATGGATGGTGGAATGGTCTTGGCAATGCCCTGCCTTGCGGAAACAGCGTGGAAGATTGGCAGAGCCATCTCTCACGCTGGCATCTAGTGGGTGGCAGGGCTGGTGTTTCTGGCGGGTCAATTCTAGTTGCAGTGCACACTTGAGCTCAGGCCAAGAAACATGGAGGCTGGACTAGGCAGAGCCGTTGCAGCTTAGATAGTCGGCCTGAGCCAGAGGCCAGTTTTAAATAATTACCACAACAGTCCTGGAACTCATTCTATAGGCCAGACTGGCTTCAAACTCACAGAGATCTGCCTGCCTCTGCCTTCAAGTGCTGGTGAAAGAGAAATTTTAAGTTAATTTAAAAAATCAATAGTATAACAGGAAGCCTTAATTCACTAATACAAATAGTTAAGAATTGCAGGTCAGCTAGCTTGCTAACCCAAGGCCGTCACAGGGGATGCAGAGCTAGAGAAACAAAGGTCAATTGAGTGTTCCAGGAATCTGTCCCTGTGGTGTCTGTCTTAGCCTCCTCTGGAGAAACTCCCACCAGAGGTCCCAAGGACTTGTGAATTAAATTTAGCCAGATGGTCTGTTGGCTCAGATAAGCATTCACACTGGATCCCAAGGCCACAGGGACCAGAGACTGTTCTCATAAGATCTGCTAACACATATTACAGACATTTGAAACAATCAATTGTGTGTGATTACCCACAACCCTCTCTCTCCCCCCAGCCTATATAAACCCTAAGCTATTAGGTCTCAGGGTCAATAACCCCTACCTCCTGCGTGAGGCACGGATCGACCCGAAGCTTTGTATATTAAAAAGGACCTGACTCATGTAATTACAGCAAGAGGTTTCTGGAGTGTTTTTGGGGTCACATCCTTCCTGGGTCCCCTTGGAGGAGTCTGTCACTGGGATTAAAAGTATGTGCCACTGCCACCTGGCTTCAGAATACATTTCTTGACCAGCCATATTCAGTAAGGATGAGAGCTGCACACAATAGGCTTATGGGACTTCTAGCTCTGTGAACTTGAACACGGCGTTTGACCTCTCAGAGCATGGCTCGCTGAGCTGGAGACAGGAGTCATTGTGAGGATGACAGGAAGGGACGCCTAGACACCCAAGTGCATCTGAGCTGGCAGCAGGACACAGAAAAGCCACCCACACTTCCGCCAAGGGACAGGCAGGGACATCTCACCACTTGGAGTGAGCAGAGAGAGAGGTTCCAGGGTCCTCTCTATTCCTTTGGGTGCTTGAGTAAGGGCGACAGAAGCATCAACTTGGGGCATCAGGTGGGGCAGGGCAAAACCTGAGTCCAGTTCCCAGTTATAATCTTCAATAGCCTTAAATTTTACATTTGTTTATTTGAGTGTGTGTAGGGGAGCGTATGTAAAGGTCAGAAGACAGCTTGCAAGAATTGAATCTTCCACCGTGTGGGCCCAGAGAATCATACTCAGGTCATCAGGCTTGGTGGCCACTGAGCCATGTAGCTGGCTCTCCAATAACTTTTTGATGGCATTGTAAGAAAGACGGATCTGAAGCCTCAGTTTATTTGGAAGTCCAGCAGACCTTTTCCCTGTTCCTAACAGGAGGGATTAATGAGAATTAATTAATGAGAATTAATTAGTAAACTGAGACTGTCAAATGTTGTTGACATTAGTATTATTAACTAACATGTTTTGTTTTCTTAAAGGAGAACCTGGCTTGCTCCAGTGTATGGCGCGAGCCGTCTGCTGGCCTGCCAAGTTTGATGGGAGAACTTGGAGACTGTTTCCACATGCAAGTTTACAACACAAAGGATTAGTTGCATAGTTGCAGCGGTGGAAGGTCTTGTGACCAGGAGAGGATGGATTCTGGTGGAGGCTCTCGAATTCTTCAGATGAAATGCAGAGATGTTCCCTCAGGAGAGGAATTATGATACAAGAAAGTGCCTCACCCCCACCTTCGAAGGGCTCAGGCACAGCAATGTGAATCTGCAGACATGGTCACCAAACAGCTTCCATCTGTGGTTCCGAGGGCCCAGCTAATGAGGTGGCATGAAGGGTGCTGTGGACTGGTTTCATTGGTGGACAGGGGCGTGGGCCACACATGCTCACTCATTCTTACTTCTGGGGTGTATACAGAATGGATCTGTTACTCTGGAAGATGGATGACCACCACCCACCCCCATTGCCTTGCTGCTCTTGAAGGGTCCCCACACACAGACTGAGGCTAAAGTGTAGGTTTGTAATGAATAGCCTAATGTGTCTAAAACGTACTGTCTGTGAGGGCCTATAGTTTCTGCTCTGTATCCACCTTTGCTGGCTTCAGCTTCGTTGGTTGATCTTACTTTCCGTATGCAGAGTTCTTACGTGTCTTAGTCCTTCCAGAACTAAGAAGCATGAACGTCAGGACAGCAATACTTAGATTCAAGTATTGGCTCTGCAGCTTGCTAGTTGTATGATTTGGACAAATTAATCTCTTTTTCTCTATCTTTGGCATGTGTATATTTGTGTTCTCCCTCTCCCCCCCCCCCCCCCCGCGTGTACATGTATGCACAAGCTCATGTGTACATACAATGGCTCTTGATGAACAGTGAGTTCACTGGCTATGGCTGGTCTAACTGGTCAGCTTGCTCCTGGAATCCTTTGTCTTCTGAGCACTGGCATGGCTGGTTGTCATGCTCATTTGCATGAGTTCTGGGGTTCTGAACCCCGGTTTTTATACTTGTGTGGTGAGTGTTTTACCCACTGAGCCATCTCCCAACCTGCATTTCAGTTTGCTCTGTGGAATGGAGGTGATGCCACCCCACAGACTCAGTTGGAGGATTAGGTTACTGTTCATAAAGCTTTTAGATGAGTGAGTGCCTAGCACATGGTGGAAGCTGAACGCAGCAGGTGGCTTTAGGTGACTGGTGTGTCTGTGTCATCTCCTTTCTCCCGAGTCATTTTAGCTTGCAGTCTGTGCACAATATGTTGGTGTAACTTGACATTCTGTTTTGTGGTTCTCCCTGACCCCTTGACAGCTCATAAATTCCATATGTATAGAAGCTGTCCTGACCTGAGTACATGACAGCTGTCTGAATCAATTTCCTGTATGGAGGCACCTAAACCTGTCTGCTGCCATGGCTGTTCTTGGAGAGATGGGTCCTCTTAGGCAGGTGGGCCCATCCCTACCTACCTGCCCACACATCCTTGTTGTGTATCTGCCTTCAAATGTGTCACTGAGAGTAGAACTCTGCCTGTGGCACACGAGGCAGAGGCTCTCTGGAGAGCAGCTGGGATGTTTTGGGGTTGTGGTTGGTGTCTAGACTTGGAGTGTCTGTGACTATCTGAAGCTCTCATTCTGCATGGTAGGCAGGCCAGAGTCCATCTGTATGTGTCTGCAAAGGATATGCAACTGACCATCTCCTCATTCCTTGCTTACTTTATTATAACCTGTCATTAATAAAGATGGCAAATAGAGATAAGATAAATACAAATACTGATCAGATTTTGGCAACAGCTGTCTTCCTGGAACCCGAGCGGACTGTGCACCTAAATGTGTGTGTAGGTATGCTGTATGTTTATTTAAGAATCTTCAGAAGGTTCACATCTTGGATATCGTCAGATTGATTCTTGAAAACCATCTGTCTTAGATAGGGTTCTATTGCTGTTAAGAGATATCATGACCAAGGCAACTTTTATTATAAGGGACATTTAATTGGGGCTGGCTTACCGTTTCAGAGGTTCAGTCCATTATCATCATGGTAGAAAACATGGCAGTGTCCAGGCAGACATGGTGATGGAAAAGGAGCTGAGAGTTCTGCATCTTGATCCAAAGGCAGGCAGGAAGGGTATCTTTCTCTTCTTCTCTGGGCAGAGCTTAAGCCCACCCCCATAGTGATAGACTTCCTCCAACAAGGCTCATACCTCCTAACAGTGTCACTCTCTGTGGCCCAAGCATTCAGACACATGAGTCTATGGGGGCCAAACCATTTCAAACCATCACACCATCCTAAGGACATGCTGTAGAACTTGCAAAAAATGCTTTCTGCACAAAGATGTCTGCTGTGAAGCTGCTTATACAATGCCAGGAACAATGGCAGTGTCCAGCATCTCAGATAAAGTTGTACTGAAATCATAGGCATGCCAGTTCTGGCAGTTTCCATCCTTTTATAAGTTTATGAGTGGCTTGAAAAGTCAGGAGAATGAAGATTCCCAGCCTCTGCCACAAGCAATTCTGATTTAATGGGTCTGGGATGGGGTCCAGAAATCCATATTTTCAACCTGCCCTATATGACTCTGCTACAGATGTTCTGTAGATCAACATTTGGAAAACTGATAAACTTGATGGGATTTTGCCATCATTTAAAACGATGTTTATAGAAAGATTACAATAGTGTAGAGGAATGTTTTATAAATAAAAAAGTATGTAAAATTGTATATGTTACTCTGTATCCAATTATGAAATAGTTATATAAAGCAAAGTAAAAATATACAAAAGGGTAAACAGAGGTGGCCTCAGGGTGGTTGATAAATGGAGATTCTTTTCTATGTTCTCTAAAATTTCCAAAAGTAAATTAAAAAGTAGAAAAAGCCCAAATCCATAGGGCTGGAAAAGTTGCTTAGTCAGCAATGTGCTTGCATGAGGACAAGAATTTAATCCCTAGAACCCAAATGAGAAAGCTAGGTGTGGTGGCCCAGGCTGGTAAGCCCAGAGTTAGGAAGGTGGAAACATGTATCTATCCCTGGAACATGTTTGCCAGATAACCTAGCCAAAGTGACCCTGTCACAAAACAAACAAACAAACAAACAAACAAACAAAAAACCCAAGCAAACAGGATGGATGATGCTTTGGGAAGGCCTTCTGAGGTTGACTTCTGCTCTGCATATGCATGCACATGTACACACACATCCCGTACACACACTGCACACACACACACACCACATGCACACACACTGCACACATACACACACCACATGCACACACTGCACACACACACACCACACACACCCATACACAC